CTGATTTTTGTTTCTTGACCATACAAGAAAAGTAATTTTTCGTTAAGGCACCCTCAATCAGGCAACCAAGAAGTGCGTTAAATTTTGGTCTGTGGATTTAACGTGCTGCGCATGAATCTTGAGTTCCTTCAGTTCAAATTTGAGTCATGCTGAGGTCAAGCAGCAACCTCTGGTTCTGAAAAGTTAAGTTAAATGGCAGCTGCCATAACCTGCATTCTGTCTAAACGCCCAGCAGGGGCGACTCCTCTTGTTGCAACAAATACCAAACACACGTCTGATTGCAGTGGAGTCAACAGCAAAATGTTTCTACTTCTCAGCTGATTTATTCCCTCAGTAAACACTTTTCTAATGAGTTTATGAGTCTCAGTCGCTAGTTTTAAGATTTCTTCAACACAGCATGATGTTCATTTAGTAAATTATGGTCCCATTTAGAGGAACAGAGACCAAGAAGCAGGCGATGCTTTAGGGTGGGGCTACCTTGTGATTGACAAGTGCCTACCACAACCCTTTCACTGTGTGTTTTCACGTTCATGAATTTTAACATTTTGGTCGCCTAAAAATGTCTTGTCCATCTGTTGGTTGTACTAAAAAAAAAAAAAAAAGACATTGGAAGGAGTCAGCTGTTGATTTTTGCCTGGTAAGTACATTTTGTTTTAAGCTTCTTTTTGCTAGCCCAAATTAGCATCCCCATTAATATCACACTTGAGGTAAATTACAGATGCACCTTGTTGACCAAGCTAGCTAACTAGCTCCACTCTCTCCTCTGTACATAAAATCGAGGCTTCAAGATTGTGGTCCACACCCAACAGGTGACGTCACAGTGGCTACATCCACTTCTTTTAAGCAGTCTATGGCTGAAGTGTAACAGGTCCAAACAGGTGCGTTTACATACAAAGTCAATGCAAAGACACTGAAAGCTGCGATTTCCTGTCGGGCAGTGAGTTGAAAATCTATCAGCGTTGAGATCCTGACGTCACCGACGGCTTCAGAGCATGTGTAGAGAGGACCAAGCAGAGCGGAGAAGTTAAACGCCACTGGCCGACGAGGAGCTTCTAAGCTGCGGGGAAAAGCAGAAGACCGAGCCGGGAGCCGCTGCAGCTTTTGGACAAATAAACACCTGTAGTCTGTTTGGATTCTGCTCTGGCAACTATACTGTTTACCCGCGGGAGTTAACTGCTTTTATTAAATTAGCTTTTTACTTTAGTTTTTGGGATTAAAATGTTCTCCACTGGAGCTTCTCAGCAGCTTGCGTGCACCTGGCTCCACTGCTGTTGTTAGATGGCACTCAGTTCTGCTGGACTTCGACGAAAAAACCCCGACAAAACTGGACATTGCTTGGAGAAAAGAAAGCGAAGAAGTTGAACTACCTGGTGAGCTCAGAAAATGTGTGTCTGTAACTTTATTCCGGCTGTCGTCGTACTTTACTGTGAACAGGTTAGCATAGCCCCGATCGAGCTGAACTCCATTCAGAAAACAAACATTTTAAAAGTTGTTGTCCTGCCGTCTTGCTGACAGACCTGACAAAGCATGAATTCATATGTTTAACAAATCTGCATCATGTTGTAGTATTTCGGCATCAGTTAAATCCATTTATTTCAAATCAAAATCACAGCAAATGTTTGCTTACTGGGTTCTTATAGCTGTAGTAATCGCGAGATGTGTTTTCGTGTTATCGCGTTGTGTGTGTGAACACTTGGCAGTTGTCAAACAATAAAACCCCCGCGAAGAGAGCGTTGCGAGGATTAAATACACAGAAAGGCTATATCCTCACTGGCGTTCTAGCTGCGTATCACCATTGATCTCTGTCCAGAAATTTTCCATCCACTACTCGATACGAACGTCATGGTGGAATTGAAAGTAACACAGGAGTAACAAAAGGTGCCTGACGAATCAGGGAAGTCTATGCCATGACTCAACCAGACCCAGTCAGGAAGCCAAACATGACCGTCTGCGTCATCAGTTCCCAAGTCCTCCGTTTTCGCCTGTCCTCTCTAATTCGCTACCTTTGAGTTTTAAATACTAAAACGGGGACCGCTGCATTTTAAAATTCTTCAATTTAGGTGTTTGGATTCGCCATTTTAGTCTGGACGGCAGACGTAAACGCAGCAAAAGCACGATTTTAAAGAGCGGATGAAGCTCACTAATTAACACACCATGTCTCGTTTGCCTTACAAAAATCAAACCGTATCGGAAAAGCTGGTGTTTCAAAACACACATTATATTACAGATCATAGGATTCTTGTTCCTCTCCCAAGGATATTAAAACTGATTGATCCTACAGGTCTTTAAAAAAAAAAAAAAGATGGCTTTCAGATGACACAAATGAGACAAAGTATTTAGAAATAAACTCTTTATATTAAAAGGAAACTGGGCAAAATAAAACTACTTTCAGAGGGCTCATTTTTCCACCAGGAAAAATTAAACCTCTATATAGAGACTTGAAAAGTGGAATATCCAAGTTCAAAATGTGGAAAATTTGGTTTCAGACAAGTCATAGGATTTACATTTGGGTAATACATTAGTCTCATTTCCAAAGGGGGATTTTCATGTGAGGGCTGAGCTGCAGCCTGCACGTGAACTGTGTTAATCAAAAACACATACACATCTGAGCCTTATTTTCTTACTCTGGTCATGTGAAAATCACTGATTGTTCTTGTACTCAAAAGTAACTTAACCGATTCTCCTACCTAAAGAGAAGGGATTATTAATTAAAGCAGAGTATTTAATGACATCAGAGAGTAGATGTAAACTGTTTGTTCGTCAGTGCTCATTATTAAAAGCACAAGTTATTTCAGCATGAGGGGGGAAAGGCGATAGAAGGTCAGGTTAAGATAATTTTTGATCAACAAGAAGAGACTTTGACTGAAGGTTAAGCGGTTCTTGGCTGAAGATATTTGTGAGGCAGTGTTCCTGTCACAAGTTATTAATAGATGTTCTTAAAGCAGATTATATTAGGGAGACGTTCACTTCCATTACCAGACGACAGGACTTACAGAAGACATGTTATGTACTGTTATTTTATGCTTCACATTATGTAGAGTGAACATTTACTGAAAGTACTGTACGTAAGTACACTTTTGTTGTACTTCTAGCTTACTTAAACATTTGCATGTGATGCTACCTTACACTTCAGATTCAGATTAATAATACAAAATACCACCAACAAAGTAGGGCTGAACGATTAATCGTTTCAGAATATAAGACCGTTTTGCCGGTCTGATTTTGCCAACTTGTTCAGATTGTGCTTATTTGTTCAGTTGTCCTTTATGTTTGTACTACACACTTATATTGTTTCTTTTTGTCCGTTTTAACTGTGTTTATTGTTGATGTACCATCGGGAGTCTGCAAAAAGGTGTTTTATTTTGAAGATCAACCGGATTCTCTGTGCCGTTCTGTGTCTGACTTCCTGCCTGGTTCATCTGCTCTGTGCTGCTTGACGCGGCTTCCGTCAAAAGTAAGACTGGCAGTGAATCTTAAACTTTAGCAAAACAAAAAATAATAAATTAAAAAAGTCAATCAAACCGTAATATTTGGTAGAAAAATCACAATTAGATTAAATCGTTCAGCCCTACAACAAATCCATTCTGATGCGTTATTGTTAGGTTCATTCACATGCTAAACTAAGAGGTGTTTCAGTTATTTAGGCTACCCTCATTGTTAGAAATGGGATGAACAAAATATCAGGAACACCTTCCAGTATAATACAATGCAGTTCAACAGCACCACAAAACTACAACCTCCAAAAATGACCACATAAACCTCTCTAAAACGCTTTCAACAAAAACCGAATATGGACTTAATAAAGTGGCAACTAGGTGTCATGTGTAACTTTCAATTGTGATTAAAATGTGATATAGTCTAGTTCTTATTATTATAGTACACAATTATCATTAACTACATTCAATATTTATTTTGCCTCCAGTATGTCATATCCTGTGGTGGATATATGTAGTTTCTTGTGTTTGTTTGTTTTTTGGTGGTGTAAATGGAAAATGGTAACAAATGCCACATGTAATTTAAATTAAACAAAAAAATACCTCAATATAGTATTATTAAATAATAAACAACAAAAAAACCCCCCAAAAAAACAGAAATAGCCCCGTGACCTTTGACCTACCTCTCCGTGCTCCCTGGTCCGGCCCTTTGGCGTGTCCTCTGGCAGGAAGTAGAGTCTGGCGCTGGCCAGCAGGTGTTGCCGTGTCTGGTCCTCCCACAGTAAGGTCAACTGCAAATGTAGAAGAAGAATACAACGTTGTTTAAAAACACAGATGCCTTGAAGACCTTTGGCCGTCTTGCTGCATCACACATAACTCAGCCATTAAGCATAACTTACCAAACCTCAAATCATTTCTTATCTAAATGAATATTTGTAACCTTGAAGAAGATGTTGGAGACAGTGCTGCTGTGTTTCTGTGTGTGAGAGTGCTCTGTATTATGAATTAAAGCCAGACTGAGAGTCTACATCCATGCTAACAGCTCTGTGAGGCTGAGCTAAACGTTAGCGTGCTAATGTAAAGTGTTTTTTTTGCCCTCCCTATCACACAAAATTGTCAGATGACAATTGACAAAAACAAAAGATTGACAGATGAAATGGTTTACTCATACTCGCACCGTTTAATTTCAGTGTTTTTAATATTGTTTTCACTTAAATGCTTCAGTTTTAAATAAATTTGACTTTTTCCCCCATTAATAACATGAGCAACAATTAATATCCTATTGTAAATCACTCCTGTTTGGCTGCCAGACCGAAGTCAGGAAGCACAGCGGAGATTTGTTTCTCTCCAGGGCCGAAGTCGACACCAACTTTGGGGCATTCCAGTTGGCAAGCAACACACAGGAGCTCCGCTTTAGTCTTGAGAAGCTGCAGTCTTTATTCACCGGCCACTGTGTTTTATCATTGTTGACAAAATACCAGAAAATATCTTGATATCACTTTCTCAATATTACACACCTCTAGTTACATAACACTGAAATTGTTGTTCTGTCGGGAGATGCAGTGACTTGAACCAAACGGTGAGTGATAAAAGTATAAATAAAACGTATTTTGTTAAGCTAAGAGTAGAGGAAAAGTCTTCCAGGCTAATTCATTCAGCGCAAAATGCAGTGGGGTTATGGTAATAATGGTGACGAGCAAGTTATACCAGTTATAATAATCCCCGTCATGTTGGCTGGCGCTGAACATGCCACAGCCTGGCTGAGTCTGAGTTTGGACTTTAAGGGAGGGGCGGGAGCGCCTCGATGCAAAGGAAGGAGGGTGAGCTGCATTTATAACACAAGACAAAAGGTAAGCGAAACAATCTTTTTATCTTGGTCATCTTGTTTTCATTATGGTTGGAAGCCAAAATCATAATTGAAAATGAGATTCGATTAATCGTCCGGCCCTGCAGGTCGATGAGTTGGGAGTTACAGATAACATTATCTGAACTGAAGTGGACCAGATTGTGCAGATTTGTAGGTCAGACGTGATTCTTGGAGACGTTTCAACATTGCTGCTGCATCTTCTTTGTATGGTTTTATTATTCATCCAGAAGGAGTTTGACTGAGCACACAGGCTAAAAAAAAAAACCTGCCTCTCACCTTCAGTCACACTTGGCCACCATCCATTTTCCAGTGTGCAAATATTAAAATCTGCTCTTTATGTGGAGCAGAGAAATAAAACATACAAAAGGATTTCAATTTGTAAAGTAACCTTTCACTGCTACATGCTGTTAGCAATTATAATAATGTTGCCTGTAAAAAAAACCAAACAAAAAAACAAAACACCAGCCTCTTTGCACAAAATAGGCTGACTTTATCAGCAGGGGTTCTTCATGTACAGAAGCCCTATTTTTTTTTAAATACTCTGTTTTCCTGTGATGACGGGAATGATGGGTGAATGTTCATAAAGAACTTTGTTGAAGAGGATTATGAAAAAGATAAATAAGAGGATAAAACATACAATTCTTAGGCAATGAGTCCTGTGCTCTACCAACTGAGCTAAAAAGCACCTTGATGATGGCTGAATGTACTGCGGGTTTCTGCAAGTTAAATTTAGACTTCAAGACCTTTTAAAGACCATTATCAATGCAATTTAAGACCTATTTCACATCCATACTGTGGAAACATCAACACAAACCAAAAAAAAAAAAAAAAAAAAAAAAGATTTCTTCTCTTATACTGGCTCTTCATGTAGGCCTTCATTTCAGCCTCTGGCCCTTAAAAGCTGCCAACTATAAATAGCTGTAAAAACAATAATGTATGAAAGTGACAACGGAGGACAATGTGAAAAGGTGGCAGAGAATAACCAGCTGAACCTGAAGCTCCCCTCGGCTTTAACAGAGCTTTATCGTGAGTGTTTGATCAGCTGTCCAGCACACAACTGTAACTTTTTGGTTCACTTTCACTGATAAACTTGGGTGTCTGTTCAGTTAAGTATCTTTGACTTATTTAATACCCTATTTCTTTGGGTTTTCTTTTTAAAACTTTCCCTGTATGCGACAAAAATCCTCTGTACAGCCCTGCATCATACATCATGGGCCTCCACGCGCTGCTGACTTCACGTCACTGTTCAAGCTAATGTTCTACATATTAAATACGCACAGCTAGGTTTTTTTTTTTTTTTTAATTTTTTTTTTTAGAAAGGTTAAAAATACGGGAGATTTACGCCAAAAACGGGAGGGTTAACATGTATGATAATGTTTTCTAGGTTTCTGCAGATGCCATTTAAAAATCAGGGTTGGAGTTTGAAAGACACTGGTGTTTTCCAGGGAGGGAGGACCTACTCAAAGATGCTATCAGGATATATTACAGGAAGTGTAGTATTCAGTGTATTCAGTATAAGTTTTTCAGTATGTCGCAGTAGCAACAGTATCCACAGTTTCCTAACTCACAACCTAGCTGATGTTAATTTAGGGCTTAACACAATAATAATTATAACAATATAATCTTCCTCAAAAACAATATAAAAAATGTTGAATAAATCTTTGATTTAATTAATGAACAAATTAGAACTGACTTCTTTTATTATATATTTATTTGTTAAGGGAAAGGGACCGAATAAAGATTTGATCAATAGTTTTGAATGTTCAATCTCAGATTTGTGAAGTGATCCACTGTAAAAAAAAGTGGTTTTAAAGAAAAGTTTAAAACCACAATTAACCATCTTCTACTTTCACTCAGGAGCAAAAATCAGCCTTTAAACCTGAAAGAAATAATGATTTGACATTTATTGTGATAATTATCAATCGAATGCCCAGCCCTAAGTTACTAACATTACATGCTGTGTTGCTGGCTCTTCAGCTGCTAAATGCTCCACTTTATTCACCAGCTATTTGCTGTTTGGTCGTGTACAGAACATTCTTAGCGCTTTTTTTTAGCTGAAAACAGCTGCCTGCTGCACCTGAAAACTACACTGATGAGAAAAGTTTACTTGAACCAAAGTTTGTGGGTCAGAAATCAAAAACAAACAAACACATTAGACCTTGTCATGTGAGCCATTGTTATCATAAGCTAGCTACTTTAATCTAACGGAGCGCCAGATGAAAAGCCATGTGAGCAGGTATCTCACCTCTGCGATGCACACGGGATCTTGCGGTCCACAGCGGATGAAGTAAAACTCCCCGAGCTTCCACACCTGGGCGGGCCCATCGGGTTGAGTTCTGCTGCTCACCGACTTGTAGAAGGCATAGCTGCCTCGCTGGCAGGAGGGAGCACCCAACCACTGACAGAAAGACAAGAGAGCACAGGAACATGATGACGAGGAGTTGATGATCCCTGTGTGGATCCCAAGGCAGCCATACCGTGATCACTGTTAAGAGTTTGGCTTTTAATAAGCTCTGCAGAATTTGGAGACAGAAATAACATCTATGGTTGAGAGAAGTTTCAGAGAGATAGCACACCTCAATGTAGCTGGTTGTCATAGCGACGCCACACACAACTGCCGCAACGTAATATTCAATGAGATACACACACACACCAGCGACCCTCACAGCTTTCTCTTGATTTAAGTTAAAACGTTTCAGCATTCCTCATAATGTAAAGACAGATAAGCGGTATGAAAACCTTCCAGATGTGTTTTGGTTGTTGCTGCAGCGGTCTGTGTGACGGCGGGAGCAGAGGGCGCTGTGAGCGGGCGGCTGGCCGGCCTCACACGCTCCTCCCCGCCGCCACCTGCGGAGCTCCTCAACTCCGAAAAACTTTAAAGCACATTTTTGCTCCGCCATCACTTCTCGTAAAACTGTCAATATTTGAAATCCACACAGCTGATTTCTCACCTCAAAACTTCACAGAAGTGGATTTAGTGATGAAATAACGTATGAAAATTGTAAAATATAGAACTTTCTGCTGCTGGCCTTTGTCTCTGATGATGCAGTGAATAGTGCCGTGTTTTAACGTCACATTTTAGTATCGCCTCAGCTCGCTTGGAACCTCGACGGGAGTTGATACGAAAAAAAGTACCTGGAAGCAGCTACAACTTTTCAGCAGTGGAAAACCAAAACAAGGCGAGTCGGTCGAGCTGGTTACCATGCAGTGGAAAAGGGGCTAAAGTGAAAGAGTTCTGCTCCGTGCGAGAGAAAATCTCATCAAAAATCACATTTATACAACACAAAATCAAGCCCTACAACGTACCGTTCCTCAAGAATATGTTGTGTGCTTCACACCACGCGTCACTTCTTAATTTTACAATACATTGTTCTGGTAGCCTGCTGAAACAAGATGCCAACGGGTGATGTCACGGTGGCCTTGTCTACTTCTTTTTCACCGTCTATGGTTTCAGCCTTTTCTACAATTTGATATTTTTATGCATTAAAAAAAAAAAAGAAAAATAGAGAAAACTTCAGATATGAGAAACGTCTAATTAAATTGTAAATGCCTCTAGAAACAAACTTGCACCATCTTCTAGTATAAACAGCACTGAGAGCAGCATACTGTAATATATTAAACAACTCTGAGAGGAAATGTTAAAAATTAACTCCTCTGACTGTTTTGCATTGCAAAGGCGCATCAGCAGCCAGATACTGACTCAAAATATGAAGAAAATTATGCAGCTTTTAACTCTGATGCTTTCTCTTACAACATGACTACTACCAGTGTTACTAATAATTCTGATGGAAAAAGCCTGGAAACTGAGACAAGCATAAACCTGCATGATCTTGATTATCTGCATGTATCACAATTGTTTTCCAGATAACCTCAATTTCATTTCTGAGCATAAAAATAACAGCTGACTTTGCAGAACAGCCAGCTAGCTTCCTGTTGTCATTACTACAACAACGTGGACACACTTCCTGTAAAGCTGATTTCAAAACGCCTGTGCACCCTTGTTTATTTGAAAGGTATATTAATAGAAATTATTTTGCTGTTAAACTTTTAATTGTCACCTGGCTGCATGAGTAAGGCCACACAATTCCCAGAAAGCTATCATAAAACCGTGAGCTGTAGTTAATCATTCAGTATCTGTAATGTTTTGCAGAGGATTCAACTTGTTCATCAGTAAAAATAGTGTGATTTGCTCTTTGACAATCACTTTAAAATTCCACTATGTGATCTCTTTACAAGTCTGAATTTGATTTGGGAGTGATTTTAAAGTTTCAGCTTAAAAGTAATGTGTATGTTGTAATCAATGGGCAAATATTAAATTGCTTAAGTGTGCTGGGTAATGTGACCTTTACTCTGCAACCATGTTTTCACCTCCCAACAAAAAGAGGTGGTGTTATGCTCATTTTGAGGTTCAAAATCCTATTTAGGGGTTGTACCAGAAGGTTTACATGGTTTCATATTCAAACAACACTGTATTTTTGTCGAGGGTGGTGCAGTGGTTAGCACTGTCGCCTAAGTTAATTGGTGACCCTACATTGTCCTTAGGTGTGAGTGTGACTGGTTGTCTATGTGTGGCCCTGCGATGGATTGGCGACCTGTCCAGGGTGTACCCCGCCATTTGCCCGATGTCAGCTGGGATAGACTCCAGCCCCCCCCGCAACCCTGTACGCAGGATAAGCGGTTGACGATGGATGGATGGACCATATTTATGTCATACTGCACATTGCTGCTGCTCCTCTTTTCACCCTGTGTTGAAAGCTTCGTTTTAGCTATGGAGTGATGCATCTTGTCTCTAAATGATCTTTGTTGGGAGTTACACATGCTCAGTTCCTAGTTAAGGACTACTAGCCAATCAGAAGCAGAGAAGGGCGGGTCAGTGAGAAGCCAGTATGTTGCCGATCAGCTTGGCAACATGGACTGGAGCAAGAGTTTCAGAGTGGTGAGTTATTAATCTGTAACAAAAGTATCTTTCATCCATAAAGTTTTAACTTTATGTCCACCGACTGCCTGGAGGGTAGCTAGTGTTTGGAAGAGAGAGGAGAGCTGTGTGCTGCAGCTCAGTGTTTTTCCATCGCTGTTTCTGAGGGCGTGTCGGAGTAGCCGCTTGGCGAGCGTTATGAGGCACATTCAGCTTTCATCCCTGTGACGTCGCAGGGATGAAAGGGAAGCGTCTGGACTACAAACGAGCTGTTTTCAGGCATTTCAGAGGAGAGTTTTCTGTGGGAGATGGGAACTCCCTTTGGGCTGGACTTCGGACATAATATGACCTCTTTAAACATTTCTTCCAATTATTGACAATGGAGAGGTTGTTTAATCTAAAAGCATTAAAAAAGAGCACTTATATCCATATCACTGAGCTATTCTTATCACTGGAAACAGCTCATCTTTGTACCCTCTAATAGAACATAAACTGGATATTTTCAGCCAGTATGTTTGTAAAGCTCTGATTCATCAACTTATTTTTATATTCCCGTAAAACAGGAACACTCCCGCAAATGAGAGCTGGCTGTATTAGAAGCCGCCTACTATACTAGTAGTACGTACTGATTTGACCTAAATATAGTATGCAAACAAAAGCAAAATCTGCAGTATGCCAAAAATACCCGGATGGCGTACTGATTCGGGAAAAATCTCCAGTATGCATCGGACCAGTCTACCTCGTGTAGGGTTTCCCATAATGCAAGGCACTAGAACTGTAACAACAATAGGGCTGCAACTAATGATTATTTTCATAGTCGACTATTCTGTTAATTATTTATTCAATTAGTTGACTACTCACATAATTTTTGTCACCCCCTATTTAAGGATCTTTCAAGCGAATTACTGATGTCCAACACACAGCCTAACTAGCTAACGTTACCATTAAGTGAACGAGGTTTACTATTCAGAATGAACACTATTATCAACACCAGGGGGAATATAGGGAAGAAGACACCGTAGGATACTCCTATAAGTCATTAATTTACTATTGCACTTAACGTGTTTGCTAACACAACTAAAAGATCGTTCTCTTAGCCAGCATCATCCATGAGACCTCAAAACCAAGAATGCAAAGAACTATGGAGAGGTTGCTCCAAGATAACAGCCAGGCTTTATCACTCAAAACAATCTGATTTATTGCCAAGTAGGTTTTAACTTAAAACTTTTAACTTTTTAACAAAGACTTTTGCTTTGGAATTATATAAAATTTAATTAAAAGCAGCTACTATAACCACAACTGTACACCATTTAGCACGCTTTGTCTGATGGGAGGCTCGCAGTCTCAGATTTTGAATACCCCTGATTTAGTCACATCAGAAAATACTGCAAAACAACCTAAACTCCAAGAGTCCAAGGTGACTTCTTCAAATGTCTTGTTTTGTCCGCTTAACCGAAGATGTTCCATTTACAAACAACAGGAAGCAGAGAAAAGTAAATAAATCCTCATATCACATACTGTAGGGGGTCTGTTTTTAAAAAAGTCACAAATAAAGTACAGTACTTAACACAGGGACAGACTGTTACTGGAGTCCGCGGTGCATGAAATAACAGTGCCAAACTGTGCAGTAAAGACAAACAGCAGCAGCCACTCAGAGTTCAACAAGCATTAAACTAAAACACATTTCAGCTTTTTCATAAAAATGTTTTACTATTAAAGTGTCAGATCAAATAAGCAATCTGTGACTTCTTCCTCTTGCATAACTGACTAACCTGTCACACATTTAAATTTATTTCGTACCAGAACTGAGGAGTGGTGCAGTTCCATTCCCGGTAAAATAAAATCTTCTACTTCACAGACTCTGAATGAGATATGTATTGATTGTTTTGCTATTAAATGAGCATTTGACAGATTCATCTGCACAGAGGTGCTGTGAACAAACCTCCATTTTCATTTTCGAGTTTATACCTCCATTTCATGCGACTTGAGATAGATTTTTTGACACTGTGTCTGTGTTCATTTTCTGATGCAACCGGGTGTTTTGTTGTTCATGTCTGATGGAGGGAAACAACACGGGAACTAAAACCGCAAGCAGCTATATAATGCATCCTTTAAATACAAAAATACTAACCAGAAAATACCTTTATTCACCTAACATAAGCAGCAAACTGAGCGTTGACAGAACATTATTCATACACCGTTTCCCTCAGTGATCAGAAGAAAAAGGTCAGCATTGATTTTAATTCTGCACACACAAAAGCAATTAAATGTATTAAAAACTACAATTTCCAAAGTCAAGAACAGAGACAGTCCGTCCCCTTCAGGGTTTTTAATTTGAGAATAAAATATGTATGTATGTAAACGAACAGAAAAACTGTGCCGTTATGTTTTGGTGTTTACAGGCGCTGCCTCTGTCCTCTCTTCCTCAGTGTTACAGCGAGGGCGGGGCTTAGCGCTTAACGTCCATTCTACACACGAAGACACACATACAACACGTGCTAAAAAGACCTCATCACTTCAACAAACTCTCAGAAATGAAACCACATTTGCAGATCCAAGGCGCAAACTCGTTGTAGACTTCGTGGCTGTGTGGGTGGAGTCAGTTTAAAAAGTTACGTCCGGTCAGGCTTTGTAAACAAGGAGCGCTGAGCGATTAATTGAACATTTCACCTCGATTACAAT